TCATGCCATTTTAGCCGAGTAACAACATTATTCCAATCTAATGTTAACCCACTACTTAGCAACAAAGAATAAACTCCAATCTTGGTGACTGGTGAAGCTTTCTTATTCCCCATGATCAATTTTATCTTCCCGTGCTCCACATTCTCACTTCTTCTTAGTCCCTACAAATCACTACGCATGTGAATACCACAACCTGTATCAAGGACGCAAGAATTAGAATGGGGTGAGTTATTAGACAATATAGTGTAAATACATGCACGGTTGGGTTTTACTTTCCCATCCTTAACATCTTGCTGGTACTTCGGGCAGTTTCGCTTCCAGTGTGACTTTTCATGGCAATAGAAGCATTCAACCTCTTTAGGGTTGGTAGAAGGAGTGACGAAACCTTTCTTGTTTCCACTTGAAGAGGATCCATCAAGGGACTTTCCCTTGGTACCGTTCGAAGGGCTCTTCCTCTTCCTTCCTTTGCCTTGCCGGATTTCCAAGACAAGGGTCGTGGTAGGAGTAGGAGTAGTAACAACTGGCTTAATTTTTGGACCACTTTCCGCGGTCTTCAAGAGTCCTTGAAGTTTACTGACTGTAACTTCCTCCTTGTTCATGTGGTATGTCATTCGGAATTGATCATAACATGTAAGTCCCGATCTATAGATCCAAATTAGTGATCAATGAAATGCAAACAATCAAACCAAGTGTAGAAGAGGTAGAAAGAGAATTAAGTCAAGCTTGCACACATCTATATGACATAAATGTCAGGTACACCTTGGGAAACACATACATATGTCACTTTTCAATAGACACAGACTAAGACTATTTATACCAACTGAAGCAGCACACAAGTGATGGGTTCACCAAGTTACAATCACCACAACACTCCCTATCATCCTACTAATACCTATACATTAGAATGCCTAGCCCAAACCACAAACTTATAGCTTATCATAACATGAAGGTAAGGAGTGCAAAATGATGTCAATTTCCAACTCCTCAGGGAAGTTCACATTCAATTTCAGCAAACGGTCCACATACCTTTGTCATTTCTGCATAGGGCCTGTGATGGGTTCACCATCCTTCATCCGGGTTGTTATCATGGAGGAGATGATTTCATACCGCTCTTGACGAGCACTCTGATAGTAGCAGTCCATCAAGTCCTGGTGCATCTAAAAAGGGTAGTAGTCCTCATAGGAATTTTGGAACACGACTGTCATTGTGGGAAACATGATACACGCCTCTTTGGTAGCATCTCTATCATGTGCCTGGTATTCAACGATCTCCTCAGGAGTAGTAGATGACTCAAGTTCCTTAAGCTCCTTTTCAAGCACATTATCCTTGCCCTCATATCGAGTGACCGTCCTGATGTTCCTAATCCAATCCATAAAGTTGGATCCATCAAAGATGACTCTCCCACAAAGGTTCATGAGAGAGAAAGAGTCGGTAGGGTTTGAACCAGAAGCAACATTGTTGGAAGATATCTAAAAAGAAAGAAGGAAAAGTTTAGATTATATATCAAGATAGTCCTTAATAAGACACCTAAATGTAATATTAAGGCTAGGATCCAACACAATATTTTATAACATAGGAGAGGGATGCCATAATCCAAGCTATAAAATATTTGAAGGTAGGTGAATGACGATTCACCAATTTCCACCATGAAAAACAAAATAAATTATTAGGTTTTAAATGGTTTTGAAACTCCTAGATTCTTTGAGATTCATTAAACTATTCAATGGCATGTTTCAATCTCAAGTGTGCCCTTCAGGTTTTGTGACTGGGATGTCAAGGATCACAAAACAAGGTGTGAAGTAGCCATGCAAATTACTTAGTACTCTTAATGTTTATCACTCAATCGATGTGCCGATTAACCACACGTGCTCCACCGACCTATGATAAACCTTAAGCCATCCTTTTCCTACCTTGTTAAGTCCAGGTTAGTGTGCAGGTTACCCACACACACACCACTAATGACTTAAACAAAGTGCAAAGTGTAATTTCATGGGTTAGCACCTTATTCACATTTTCCTAAATTAACTAAGATTGTGAATTTAGAAAAACATTTAGTTACTTTGCATTCATCATACCTTTAATAAGGATCTAAAGTCCTTGTCCTACTTGTTCGGCAAACGAGCCTCCACCAGTCAAGGAAGCGGTGGGTGAGAGTGGACACCCATTAAGTTGCCATTCTATAGGCAGCAACCTTATACCCCCCCCCCCCCTTATAGACCGGCTTCGTGAATAACGGCTACTAATGGTAAAATGACTTGTTCTTATACATATATAATTATTATTAAACTTATAATATTATAAAGTATAAGGGTTGAATTCTAACTTTTAAAATTCTAGAGGTTGGAACTAAAGTTTTACCAAAGTGTGTGAGACTTTACATGTTCCAAAACTTGAGGGCAAGTTTTGTAACTTTCAAAACTTTTCATCTTTCATAACTTATGAGTTAATGGTTTATTAAAATGAGAGACTTTTCATTTTATGTAACCTATGTGTTTCTTTAATGTACTTTAAAAGTACTTTTGGTAAGCCATAACTTGAGCACAAATTATGGATTTCATTAAAACACATAATGATCAAGAATTAAACTAACAAGAAATTTGTAAATAATTCCTATGATCTTCTAAACTCATAAGTTCATGAACAAGCATATCAATAATTTCAAGAATCATAAATAAACCATCCAAAACTTGAAAATTTGATAATAGCCATTGAAAATGGATTAGTATAACCATTACACCATTTAAAACAAGTTTTATAAGACCAAAACTGTTTAGGGTAATGTTTCTAGCCCATTTCCAGCATCAAAACTCAAAAATCTGCATTCTAGGGCTCCTACTCGTCGAGTGCACGAACCTACTCGACGAGTATGATAAATTATCACATGGACTTGTCGAGTCCCCCCATGGACCCGGCGAGTTCATGCTGCAGAATGCAGAAAACTTGAGTTTTTTCAACAATTTGCATCAAGTAGCAAGAAAACAAGCCTAGGCTTTGATACCAATGAAGGGTTTTGAGCATTCTAACACTCCTATGGTGTACATGCAACCCTAGAAACCTTGGATCTATGTTTTACTAAGATACATGCAAATTTTCTTTTCCAAGGTTCTTAACCTAACTAGCATGGCATGGGGAACTTTGAAACTTAATAAGCTAGTACAGTTACATACTTTTTAGTAGTGGTTGATTGCTTGGAGTTTGAGAGACTAGCACCAATAATGTGGATGCCTCAAATGGAAGTTACAAATCACCACAAACTTTGGAAACTTGAGAGAATAGTAGATCACTTCTTGAATCGGCCCACCCTTGTTCTCACTCAAAACTACTGCCATTTCAAGTGCCAGGGCCTCCTTTATATAGTGTGGTGGATTAGGGTTACAAGCATGTAAACCCTAATACGCATGACCTTTCATTTCCATGAGATCCATGGGTTAAAGCTCCATGGACTATCCATGGACTTACCATGCAAGCCTAGCCCATTCTAAATAAGCATTAGCCCACACTATATAAATACAAGAGTCCATATTTAATTAGTCACACTTTTGATCAATAATTAATTCTAAATTAATTTTACATCAATACTAGTTAAATAATATGATTTCTTATTAATATATTAAAACTTATAATATATTAATAAATCCTAACTTATACTATTCTCAAAAGATTATCCATATAAATTGTTCGGGTGAAGTGCAACCTAAACGGACCATGCCGGGTCGGGTCAAGTACATCTCAAATATAGTTATGGACTTAGACACCTTATCCAACATGATGGAGTCTTCTTGATGGCGTGGACAACGTTGTGGATACTTCTGCTATCATCCCGGTTGAATGATCTATACCACCGTGACATGTGCCTGGAATGGCTGTTGTGTCTCTGCTGGTTGCTGTCTTGGTTTTCTTGCTGAACCGGGATCGGTTGGGGTACCATTTCCTCCTATTTGAGATAGGCGTTGGTCACGGCTTTGAGATTGGCCTCTTATCTTTCTTCTCCCTTGATTTGGCACATGTACTTTTCCACACTGAACTTGAGTTCGTCCCTGGATCAAGGGTCAGTTCCTTGCATCTTTCTTGATAGGGGTCCAGGAAGTAGACCTTGGGCAAAGGCGCCTGTCACCAGGAACTCTTCATGTCTCGGGATGTTTAGGGTACCTAGCATGAACCAATCATAGTAGTCACAGATCGATTCTCGTTCTTTTTGTTTGCATGCCATCATGGAGTTGGTGTCTCCTTTTCCTTTTCTCAATTGCATAAAGTTATTGAGGAAAAGGTATTTAAGCTGCTCAAAGCTTGAGATACTACCTGGCCATAGAGACTTGAACCACTTTCCTGCGTTTCCTGTTAAGGTACATGAGAAGTACGTGCAAGTGAAACGGTGATCCATCTTAAGAGATGTCATTGTCCACTCGTAGTTGTCTATGTGGTCATCTGGGTCTGTAGTGCTTTCATACGTTGACATGTTTGGAATCATCGCAGTGTGCGAGATCTCGTACTGCAGGAGTTCATGGCTGAAGTTGGAACTTATGCTTCGCATGGTGTTGTCCATGTATGAGTATGGCATACCACCGTAAGCCATGTGTTGCTACATCTGGTAGGGCTCACATACATCTTGTTATGTATGGACGCTTGCGCGATGTATGGTTGATACTGCTATAGGTTTGGCTGCGATCCAATGGTCTGGATTGCAGATTGCCCTGCTGGGGGAACCAGATACGGGGTTGCTCCTGTGTACTGTTGTGTATATAGGTTGAACAGTTTATCGGATGTCATGAAGGGGTTGAATTCGGATGCGACCGAGAGCCAAATGTCGGTTCTATAAGGGTCAGGTCCTTAGCTAGATGAAGTATGCACACATGTTACTTGTGGTTGGGACAGTGCAGGGGTTGCACCTAACGTCTGTTGTACAAGCTGATTAATCTTGGAGATTGCTATGGAAATACCGGTACATGAGACAACCCTGCCATGGCGTGTGGGTGGACCATCGAGGAATATTGTGGTTATGGCTAAATGGTGTGAGGGATCCAGGTTCCAGTGCCAAAAACGTGCGGGAAGGATTGTTGTTGCGATGCACAAATCTTTGTTTGTTGCGTTGTGATGATTTGTGGAGTTCTGGTTACGATTGCTATTTGTGGGACTGTGCTGGTTGTTGGGCTCCATAGATTGGCGATGTAAGTTGCCACCGTTTCGAATGCAGAACTCGATGGTGTCTGTGAGACCGGTGTGCGGTCTGAGGCATGCTCCTTCTGCATGGAATTGTGCCCACCATTAAGTGACTGTATTAGGCGCAATAGTCTTTTCTCCGTTTCTCCCGATGTCACTGGGATATCGCCTGCCATTATTGCTTTTTAGGTTTGTTTCGTGGATGTATCGTTCAAAAGATACGCCTGGATGGCGCCAAATGTTGTGATATGATAGAGAGGATGGAATCTAAACTGTAGAGGGGATCTGTATGAGTACTGTCTCCTGTTGTCATAATGTAAAAGAGAGAAATGACCATTAGTCAATGTCTGGAAGGAGTTCCCAGGACAAAGCTCCAGCGATCAAGTCAGTATGAGATATGATAAAGATGGTCGAAGATTACAGGGAAGAGGGAATTATATCCCCTTTCTTATCAGGAAGATGGATCCTTTTATACTTGTTTTAGAGGCGTATACCTCAACCTATTCAGTTGATGATTCCGTTGTGAGGTGCGACGTGGCGGAACCATATTGGAGGGTCCTTCGTCATGCCTTTTGCTTCATCCCCCCATTGGATGGGAGGGAATCTCCTAATCGTTTATGAAGATCTTGGCTTTCGTCTAATGAGCGAGTAGGACTCTCTAATTGGTCCCACATTTTCTGGGATGTAACTTCCTGAAATAGGGGTTAAGGCGCGGTTTTGTGCCTTATCCTCGGGAGCAACGGAGAAAAAACTATTGCGCCAGGTTCTGACTAGGCCAAGCCTGGTGTCAGTTTGGCTTCTTTCTTGACGTTCCCCAGAGGGATACGTTAACGGTAGTTGCTCCGATATACTCTATGAGCATTGTTGCCGACAACAATCAGATGCGTGGAAGGAGGGGCTACAGCCCCCAACCGGTGGACCATTGGTAGGATTCACCGGGCACAACTTGTGGCCATTGGGCACTATTCATCCACCCTTAACATTGGCTAGTCACGATGAGAAGGACATCACAAGAACAATCGAATTCTCTATGTTACGGAACCCAACAGAACACAATATTCTACTCGGACGATCGACAATCTCCTTACTGCACCTCGTACCATCGACGATCCACGCTATCATTAAATTTAGCACACGCCAGGGATCAACAACGGTCCTTGCCACAAACACCAGGGCACAACATTGCCACCAGATCATAGCTGCCCCAGAGCTTGTATGCGCTCCAAAGAAGTCCAAGGAGGGATGTTCCACCAAACAACACCAGATAAACATGGAATATGCTGAAGAACTTGTGTGAATTGGCGCTCACCTATCAGACGAGACCAAGACATGGCTTGTAGAACTACTAAAGCACTACTCCACCATTTTCTACTGGAAAGCAATAGATCTGACAAGCGTTGATCAACAGGTTATAGAACACAACTTTAATGTCACGCCCGGAAGCAATCTGGTTAAACAAAAAAAAAAAAAGAGGTCATGCGGCAGAACGAAACAAAGCAATAAATGCAGAGGTAGCCAATTTGGTGAATGCTGACATCCTCAAGGAAGTGATGTTCCCAACATGGATTGGAAAACCCGTTATGGTAATGAAAGCCAACGGGTCATGGAGAATGTGCATTGATTACTCGGACCTTAACAACGCCTGCCCAAAGGACTGTTATCATCTCCTGGAGATTGATCAGAAGGTCCAATCACTCAAAAGGTTTCAGCTCAAATGTTTCCTTGACGCGTACACGGGCTACCATCAAGAACAGATGAAACGAGAGGACGAAGCAAAAACTGACTTCCACGTCGACAAAGGGCATCTTCTGCTACCACAAAATGTCGTTTGGACTAAAAAACGCGGGTTCTACTTATCAAAGGCTCATGGAAAAAGTATTCATTGATAAAAATGGTAGGAATATCGAATTCTATGTCGATGACATGGTAATTAAGAGCCGCAATGAAGAAGCATTACTTCGTGATGTGGAAGAAACTTTCCAGACGATAGCCAAAGCAAAGATGAAGTTAAACCCAACTAAGTGCACTTTCGGAGTAGAGGAATGGAAATTCCTTGGGTATCAGATATCCAAGGAAGGACTTCTGCCCAATCCCACCAAAATCCAAGAGTTCCTTGAGTTAAAAACTCCCCACAACCTCAAGGGCGTACATGAGATTAACGGTAGATTGACGGCATTGGGAAGATTCATCGCCAAATCCGTAGAAAAAGTGCTCCCCCTGTACCAAACACTTAAAGGGTGCATTGACAAAAATCAGTTCAAGTGGACAGACAAAGAGGATGCGAAATTGCAACATCTAAACGACGCCATGCACCAACTACAGGCTCTCGCCTGCCCGCTACTAGGGGAAACACTATAGATGTATCTAGCAGCTTCCGAAGAAGCTATCTCCTATGTGTTAGCGGTAGTGAGGGAAGGCAAGCAGGTTCCCATCCATTTTGTTAGCGGGGCCCTACAATGACCAAAGGTCAATTACCCGACCATATAGAAACTGGTCCTCGCCCTGTTATATACTGTCATACGGCTATGAAGGTATTTCCAAGCCCACAATGTGGATGTTCTTACTAGTTATCCAATAAAGCAAGTGTTGCTAAGGCCGGAAAAGTCTGGACGCCTGGCCAAGTGGGCCATAGAATTAGGCAAAAATGATATCCATTACCACTCCTTATCTAGCATCAAGGAACTGGCGCTCACATACTTCCTGGTTGAAATTCCAGATACCATGAAGGGAGTGCCAACAACGATCTTCGTTGACCCACTCAAGCCTGAAGCCGGAATAGAACTCTAGAAGATGTACACTGATGGCGCAACAAGCAAGGAAGGCTCAGGTGCATGCCTGATCCTACAAATCCCCAAGGGTGAAGAGATCACTTACGCGATGTGGTTTGACTTCCAAATATCAAACAATGAGGCAGAGTATGAAGCACACTTAGCAGGTCTGAGGCTAGCTAAGGAGGTGTAACAACGTGACTTTTCAAAAAAAAAAAATCATTTCTGAAAACATGTTTTCATCCAAAACAAGCCATAAAATCCAATGTATCACAATCATAATACAATATATGTCAAATCCCAAGATCATAAAATAAATCTTCCGTCAGTGTGTACAGATCACGCCGGTGCCTTCCCACGGTCCTCGCTAGTACCTGAAACACATAACACAACAACTGTAAGCATAAATGCTTAGTGAGTTCCACAAAATACTACTTACGCCCATACGCCTTTCCAGGCTATGACTTTCCGGTCCATGTGTCTCAAGGGACCTCCATCCCGACCCGGTAAACCTTCCGGCCATACCCGCATCGACCTTCCAATCCACCTCACAATGCCTTCCGGCCCATAACATAATGCCTTCTGGCCCATATCATGCATAGCATACATAGAACATACAAAAGGTTAACTTAATCACATACAATGCATAAAACTCATAACATATCCGACCTTCCGGTTACACAAAGATACCCTTCCGGTTACAGTGTAGTGAGAAGACTCACCTCGTAGGAAGTCTAGAATCTCATGTGCTCGATATCTCCGAATCTCAAAACGGCGACCCAACCCCACCTAATCACAACGAAATAGCATTCTAATTAATATAGGCTTCCAGGACTAAGCTACACCCTTTCATTATCCCACAGAGGGGTAAAAGACCATTTAACCCCTCCTTGACACAAAGTCCACATGTTGACCAAAACCCTAAAAGTTAACAGCCAACAGTACGTGGGGCGTACCAGCTTCTGTACGCGGGGCGTACGTCGATAAACTACAATCGGGGATCTCACCCCTTACGCTGCGCATACTGAGAATTATGCCTAGCGTAAGTCTTAGTTTCAGCCATACCATAAATTTTGGTCTTAAATGGTAAGACACTCCTTAAATTTCCAGATCTGGCTCTCCTTAAGCCTCTTATCCCATAAAGTCAGAACCTTTAAGCCTTGGCATGGTTGTAAAGGTTCCTACACCCTTTAACACCTTTCCTTTCTCCTCCAAAGACCTAGATCTCATGCATGGCTCAATATTTACGTCCAAGATTACATTTTTATGAACATATAATAGACCTGAAATATGATAGATCTAGGCCAATGGAGACTACATGCTCACAAAGTCTCCATCTTGGGACCAAAAACCCTAGAAATTGGTCCAACAAGCACACCATAAGAACTACAAGGCAAGATCTGAACTTTTTACCTCAGGAAGAAGCTCCAACCTTTGTTATCCTCGGATCTACACTTGTCCACCAACTTCTAGCCTCCACAATGGACTCCTCTTCTTTTTTTCTACCTTGAAATGACACCTTGAAGCTTAGAAGACTCACACCCAAGCTAAAAACAAAGGAAAAGCTCTCTTAGGCTTTCTTTCTGAAGGATGGTGGCTGAGGGACAAGGCCATCTTATTCCTTTTATAACCCTCAAGCTATATTAGGGTTTTGGGTCTGGACCGGTTATGCCCGGCGTAACCTTAGGTACACCCAGCATACCCGAGTGACAACGTGTTTCAATTAAGCATGCGAGTACGCATAGCGTACTATTTGTACGCCCAGCGTACTCGCCCAACACAAAGGCCAAAATGAAGATTATGAAAAGATGAGGGGCTAAATGGTTGTACCTGAATTTCAGGTTGTTACAATTCTCCCCCACTAGAACCAGACTTCGTCCCCGAAGTCTTATACCGAAAACAATTCCGAATGTTGTTCCCGCATCTCCGACTCGGACTCCCATGTCAGCTCGGACCCCTTCCGATCCTGCCACTGCACTTGCACCAAAGGCACTTCCTTGCTCCTCAGAACCTTAACCTTTCGATCCCTAATTGCCACCGGTCTCTCAACATAGTTCAGGCCCGCATCCACTTGAATATCCTCTAATGGTACCACTGCCGACTCATCGGCAATACACTTCCTCAACTACGACACATGAAAGGTGTCGTGAATCTGACCCAGCTCCGCAGGTAGATCTAAATGGTAGGCTACCCTGTCTACCCTTGCGATTACCCTGAAAAGTCCAATATATCGAGGCCCCAACTTACCCCTCTTCCTGAATCGAATCACTCCTTTCCAAGGAGAGACCTTTAAGAGTACGAGGTCACCAACCTGAAACTCGAGCTCGGACTGACGCCTGTCCGCATAACTCTTCTGGCGACTCTGAGCGGTCAACAATCTCTTCCTGACCAGCTGTATCTGCTCTGTC